TCAAAAGTAAACTTTAATAAACCAAACCATCAATATCATCTATTAACCAGGGAAAAATTATGCAATCATAGTATAAATTTTGGCATTCTATTTATATTAATAATCTTATACTTTATTAGATAGAATATGTGAAAGCAAAATTCACAAAGAAAGAAAAAGTAAGCTATAATAATAGTATTTGAATAACTTATATTTGGAAGCATATAAAACTCATTTAACCATACATATACTCACTCATACATACAATATGTATATGCATATTACCTCATTTAGGAACCACTACAAAAAAAAAATGACAATTTTAATGCTGGTTCAGATATTGAATATATCCCCTCAAAAAATGTTGCACCAACATCAACTCAAAAAGCATCAACAAGAAGCAAGGTAGTAAAATCATCTTCAGAATATTTGAAATCTATTTCACAAGCTTTATTAACAAATAAGTTTGACATACCTAAACAAATCGTGGCAACTCAATCCAGAAAAATAAAAGAAGTAGCACCAATTAAAAGTAATAATACAAGTAAAAATTAAGCAACAACACCCACCCAGTAGCTACCACAAGGAAAATAAGGAGACTCAAGAATCTAATCAGGAAATTTACACCGTCAATGATCTCTATAATGTATGCACATATACCAAACCACTCAAGTTATCACCACCAAGAGAATCTAATGAACGGCAAAGATTTAGTTCATGAGCTAAGACCAACCATTGTGGTTGATGATTCAAGCATGACCACTTTCACTCTGCCATTACAAGGTTATATACTCGGAAGAATACCAGGAAAAAAAATCAATTATTCTAAATGATGGTGGTCACCTTCCTTGCTAGTATCTGCTTGAGGCAATTCTGGAATTTCATCTTTAAATGAAAGTCCTCCAACTGGTATTTTGTAAGTTCTGTAAGGTTCAGAAACTGTGATCGGTTTTCCTTTGGGTCCAAATACTGTAATTTCACGATCAATATCAAACCAACTATAACTGGTGGATTTTTATAACCATATGCTAATAGACATGCAGTTGATTTAACAGGTGGTCTACCTGGAGTTCATAGAATATACCATCGCCATCTAATGTTAATCTATATTCGTGACACAGTTGAGCCCAAGATTAATCATACCATCAACTAGTGGAAGATGGTGTAGTTTTAGCTTGGCATAACAACTGGGTCTTGGTAGCACGTTTTGATGATCATGTAGTAATCAAAAGAATATCATGTAGATTATGTAAGAGGGTACTTGAAGCAGCTTTTAAATATTTAAGTCTTTATGAACTTCCTGAAGCGCATGAAGTTACTCTTTATGAATATGATGACTATAGAATAGAACTTGCTAAATGCATACACTGCATACAAGAAAAGTATTCTATAGTTCATAATCCAAAACGAAGTGCTTTTAAAGAACATGAACCAATTAGTAGAGTCGTTAATGGGCTACAAGCATTTTGGTCTTTAAAAGGAATATATCATTGAATGTGAACTGACTGCGAAGAAGCCATCAAAAGGTTTGGAGTTGAGTACAGAAAGTATTTGAAAGATTTGCGCAAAAGGAAATTAGAATTGGCAACACACGAAGAATATTTTGAAGAGGCAATAAACAAAAATTCAAAAGAATGCGACACATTCTAAATGATTTTAAGGTTGTAGAACCTACAACCCTTGATTTAATTACAACAAATGAATCAAAGGATAAATCTGCAGTGAATAAAAATAAGCAACTTCTTGAGAAAATCCTTTGGTCCAAATGTAAATTGAATTTTAAGGTGCTTCAACCAAAAATATATGATAAAAGCGTGAGGAAAAAGAAAGGTAAATCTTTTTCAATGATAATATAGAACGAATAAATTTAGACAATTGCATTTTCATTTCTGCATGTCTCTAAAAAAATTATTATTCAAAAGAATTCTTTATCATATTAATATATATATATATATATATATATATACACAATTTTATTTAAAATAAAATTGTAAAAATTATCTATATAAAACTTGTAATATTATAATTATATAAAAGAAACCAATCTAATAAAGACAAAAGATGAGTAAATAATATAATTGTTGAATAATATTCCGAGTCTATTGTTGTTGAATAATGCTGATATATTTCAATTAATTTATAATATATTGATCGCCAAAAGTTTACAATATGATTGCTGTAATAACTATCTGAAGCATTGTTTCTGAACAGGCTTTTTCTATTGCAGGTCAAACAATTTCTTCTCGAAGGAACAGGTTGGAGTCATAGACAGCTAGGACGATTTTGTGTCTAAAATCATGGATTCAAAAATAATAAATAAATTTGTAAATAAACTTATGTGCGCAATTCATATTCCAAAGTTTTATTTATTTGATTTTTCATCGTCGCGATTAAAAAACTTGTGTTACGTGCACTCTAAAATTAAAAAATTAATACAATGGAAGAAGATATGGAGATTGATAATGATGACGACAATAATAATGTTGTTCTTCCAGGTGATCCTGTCAAATTTTCAGGCGATAAAATACAACTTGGACCAGGCTTAACGCAGAATGAAGAATCAATAATTAGTTTAAAAGCTGGTATTTTAGAATGCTCTACTAAGTCAGGGAATAAGTTGTGGGTGGATAATAACCAAAAAAGAGTAAGCAATAGTAGTGATTTTATTCTTAATGATTTATTTCTGGGAGGAAATATATAATTTACTTGATGTTATACTTATTTTATCTATCCTTTTAAAAAGTATGTTCCGGCTGCAGGAGAATTTGTACTTGGAATAGTGACACATAAAACTTCAGAATTTTATCGTTTGGATATTGGATCTGCTCATCAAGCAATCCTATCTAATTTGGCGTTTGAGAATGTAACAAAAAAGAATAGACCAAATCTAAATGTAATTTCTGTTTTGTTATTCTTTTTTATTTTATTTTAAGAAACAATTTCAATATTCATATTTGCAAAAAAAATTTCTTTTGTAGATAGGAAGTTTAATATATGCAAGAGTTTTATTAGCAAATAAAGATATGGAACCAGAACTTGGATGTGTTAACCCAGACAATGGTAAAGCTGATGGATTTGGTGAATTGAAAAATGGCTATTTATTAAAATGTTCTTTAAGACATTGTAGAAGGTAATTCGTTTTAAAAAAAAAAAACAAGTCTATTGTTTCTTTTCCATTTAAATTGTAACTGTTGTGGTTATAAGGTTATGATTATGATTATGAATGAGATGTTAATTAATTTTTAATTTGTAACACACACATATATGGTTGGTTGGTTGTAGATTATTGTTTAAACAATCTCCAATTCTATCATTGCTTGAGAAAAAAGTTCCATCTCCATTTGAGATTGCGATAGGAATGAATGGTCGTGTATGGATAAATGGTAAAGATGGTGATGATTCAATAAGGAATACAATATTTATTTATAATGCTATAAAAAAGTCAGAAAACCTTGATAAAAATGAGTGTATCAAACTGATTCAGAGTCTCAATATTTAGAATATGAAAGCAAAAGATGGTAATAAAATACAAAATGAATATACATTCAGATTAAAAATAAAATAAAATATAATCCTGCATTTTTATTTTCGGTAAAACACTTTGGTAAAAGGCCGTGGTTTATTTGTTTTAGTTAGTGAGCAAAGGCTTGGTACTGGCATTGGTTAACTAGTGAATGAGTGTTGACAAGGTATTTGCTTTGGTGAATAAGTAAGGGCTTGGTACTGATTGATGTTGGTTAGCTGGTAAATGTTAACAATGGCATTGTTCAAGAGTGTTGATTGGCAATATTAATAGTGCTATTGTAAAGGTAAGGCTGTTAAACAAGCTGTTTTAAATAAACCAAAGTGGGCTTGCAATCGGCTAATGATTGAAATAAAATTGGTCATAGAAAAATAAAAAAGGAACTTTATATCTATTTATTTACTTTATCCAGTAACAGTATAACTGGTTTGGATTGCTCCTTTTCTTTGCCATTTAGATATTACAATAATCAGTTGATTACCTTGCACCCATCTTCCATAAGCAAATCAAATTATGATTCATTGGGATAGATTCAAATCAAATTCATTGGGTTGATTCATTATTTATGTGTATTAAATAGTATATATTGATTCGGATGAAACAAATCAAAATTAGAGACCAAATTTTGTTGATTCATTCGGAACCTTAAAGGAGTGTGCAAACCAAAGTCTTAATGTGCACTGGCACTCCTAGGTTGACCACATGTGCAGTGCACAATATATTTATTGCAAGGTACCAATTATTGATGGGGCTATCTACTCTTGCAAGTAATCCTTTTTAATGTTAAATAGGTTGCACTAAATTAAATTCATCATATTCTTTCATTAAAACTTTCATTAATTATTATTATACAGTGGATGACAGCAAAAACCATCAACTATTATTGACTTACCAAAAATGATATTTGCTCTTCAGGGGTGATCATTTTAAAAAAATAATTGCACCAAATGATTATTTAGAAGTCAGGGAATGATTTGTTGCAACCAGATTTTTTATTTGAATTTACTAGCAAATGTTATAAGGGTTTAAAATTTACTATTTTTGTAACATTTCATATATGGGGCATACTGCAACAAAACCAGACAAAGTGAACATTTCAGGGTTCAAGATTTATGGAACACTTGAAATACATTACAAGTATATATGTTTCCAAACTAAAATCAGTTGGAAGTTACGAGTTTTCATTAATAAATAATAAATAATAATAAAACTAAGTTTTTTTTAAAATATATATATAGTCATCATAATTAATAATGAAATAAATAAATATATAATTTATTAATTAGAACATTTTCTTCTCTTCAATGCTCTTCCTCCAACTAAAAAAAAATAAAATAAATTTATTAAAAAAAAAATTTCATAATTAACATAATTTTCCATCCACAATAATCAAAGCTTAACTTACCTTTACTTGTTGATGCTTGATTTGATGATAATTCATCATCATCATCACCAATTCTATGTTTTTCTGTATTATTATTATTGTATTGTTGATGATCATTAAATTCGTTCCATCCAGCCTCCAATACATCCAAGTCTTTTAACCAAAGATCTTTGGCTGTCATATTTGTGATTTTTGTTAATTCATCTTAGAGCCTTTTATAACATTAATTATGTATATGTGTTATTAATTGAAAAAAAAAAGGAAAATATTAAATCACCAATTAACTAATTACCCCATCATCATCAGACAACCATATTTTTAATAAATAGTTGTATCCTTCAAAATCATTATTATTATCATCATTATTATGGATTTTATCAAAATTGTATGATTCAAGAAGTTTTATAATTTCCAATTTTTTTTAAACTATCAAATTTAATTTCACCTTCAAGTTTCATGGAAATAAATCTGATTTTATTATCCATCATCTTCATTTTTTGTTCTTTTTCTCTAATTAAACCATACATAAATAAATAGGTGAATCAGTGAATTAGTACACATGTATGAAAATAGATTAATCAACACACACACATATATTAATATATACATTGTTAGTAAAAAAAAAAAATCCAACAAAATCATAACCTGCCCTTCTTTTTTCATACAAATTTAATCTTATTTCATAAAATGCATCTATTATATCCTTTGGTGAATTATATTTTGTTAATTTATTGTCCGAATCAAAACACATCATGTTTGATGTTGTCAATGGACATGTTAGTTGGAAATAAAGACTAGTGCCGTAAATTATGATGATGGTAGTAATTGTATTTACGGCATATAAAAAGTGGTTGTGACCACTTTTGCAACCATACTTTTTCCTTTTTTGGATTACGGCACTAGTCTTTATTTTGGTTCCATCTTCATTCAAGTATTCTAATAGACTGTCATCATCTGGGCGATATATCAGATGAGAGCCTGGTATTGATGTAACGGACATGTGCAGCACTTCTTTTACCACCATCTTTCCTTTCTCCAAACTGTCCTATAGGTTCCAATAAATTAATGTTATTTGATCCCACAAAGTTCTGTGAAAGACCAATTATAGTATCATGTAGATTGTCTTCACCATGACGATATGCCGTTTGCTCTGAAATATAACTTGATAGCAGTGGCACTTTGAGCTCTTCTTTTGTCAAACCTTTTTTAATACATCCAAATAAAACTTTTCGTTGACCAAGTTTTAGGCCATCTATAACAGATGGCATGGATCGCATGTTATCAGAAATAAAGACTAGTGCCGTAATCCAAAAAAGGAAAAAGTATGGTTGCAAAAGTGGTCGCAAAGGTAATTGCAACCACTTTTTATATGCCGTAAATACAATTACTACCATCATCATAATTTACGGCACTAGTCTTTAATCAGAAAGTGAGAATAGAGACAATTCTTTGTTAATAAAATCTTTGATTATGATTTTATCATTATTGTAGTCAATATTTATTCCTTCTTTGATATTGTTTATCCAAGTTTTACGTTTATCAGCATAGTTTTGGGTATTGTAACAGTTTTACATAGATTATATATATTTATTATTTAATTATCATAAACGAATTTTCTTTTTTAAAAATAAAATTTCATTAAGAACTTTGGAACTTAACCTTGTTTACTATTTATAAATAATAATAATAATATTAATATATATATTTTCTGTGCGGGCAATTTCCCATATTAATCATATTAATATCAAAACCATTAGTTATTTTTTGTCAAAAAATTATCTGTGACATCATTATAATAAAGTAGATTTACTTAATAATGCGCGAGCTACTTTAAATCGGATTGATTACACGAATTCGAAAATGTGAAATTTCACGCGTCAATTTTTAAAATTATATGATTGTTGAAGTAATGTGTGGAAAGCAAGCGGTTAATCCAACAGTTAGAAAATTATTATAAATGATTTTAAATTTTTATTGTTTTTTTTTCATCAAAAAAAAATTTATTAGCACATGAAGAAAAAATGTAAATTACTGTAAATTAATTAAGTTTGAATATTTTACTTTTTTTTATGATTAGGCCCGCTAAATTAAAAGAAAATAAATAAAGAGAGTGGTGAATTTTTTAAAAATTTTTTTTTTTTTTTTTTTAAGAAAATATAATATACAAAAGAATGATGACGGTAAAAAAATTATTTTTTTTTTCTAAATTTTTCTAAATCTATAATATTTAACATTTATATAATTATATTATAGAAAAAAAATTTATTTAGAAATAATTTTCTTCTACGTGCACACATACATACACATATATACCCCTTTGCTTGCATCCTCATATCTATCTCCAATAAATAACTAAACGAATGAATTATTATTAAATAAATGAGTGAAACAATTTTTTGATTTTGAATTAATTTACAAAAAATGAAAAAAATAAAAAATAAATGAATGAATGAATATTTTTTTTCATTCTAGTAACATTTTTTTAAATATGAGATATTTACAATCATGAGATGATATTGTCATTAATGATGATGTTGTTGTTGTTGTCGGATTTATAATGAGTTGAATGTTTAATGTAATCTTTGACGTCAGGTTGTACACAAGTAGAAGTAGATGAAGCTCTACTGATTCTACTATTTCTTTTGAGTGATTTATTTTGATGTGATTTAGGTGGAGGTTTATGATGATTCTTATATTGCTGTTGATAATTATTGGTTTTATTAATATTGTCTTTGTTATTTTGATGATGTCTTTTATGTAATAAATAGTTGAATTTAATAAAATTTTCAGCTATAATATTTGCTGATGAGGTGATGAAATCTGGTTTATGGAACTCTTTGACATTAAAGTCATTATTAGTATAAGTGGTTGCTGTTGCTGCAGTTATTATGGTATTGTTGGCCTTAATATCGTCCGCATCATCATTGTCATATTCAATATCATGATTTATATTTTCAATATATTCATCATCATCATCTTCTTCTTCTTCTTCTATTATATCATCATTTTCAATCGAAAATTCACTTGAGACTTCAGTAATTGTACTAATGCGTGAATTACGTAGATTGTTTATTGTTTTATTATTATTAATATTGCTACTGCCACTGCCATTACTATTACTATTACTGTTATTATTAATATTGTTAATAATGTCATTATCATCATCATTATTATTAAATATTCTTGATTCAATATTGATTGGCAATGATTTTTTTGATGATGATTTTTTACTTTGAATACTAGTTTTTCTTGATAAAAATTGAAACAATTGTTTACGAATACTTGGTAAAGGCTTTGATGGTCGTGTAACATTACTATCAGTATTAGTACTAATATTCATATTATGACTGGTATTAATCTCTCTGTTATTGACATTATTAAATATTATTGATGGTGATTTAAAAATGGGTTGTTTGTTTATTATATTGGCTTCTTTTGATGGTTTACTTGTATAGATTTCATTTCCCAATTGTAAACAGGCAACACTATTTGAAAGATCGATTTTGTGAGGTAATGGCAAAGTATCTTGATTAGGTATTATTGACTTGACTGAGATTGGAATGCTAAGAATAATCAAGGGAAAAATTTGAGAAAAATCGAAAAACAAAAATCAATATAAATATTATTAAATATTAATTATTGACTAACCTGAATTCAATTTGATCTTTTTTAAAGTTATTTAATTGGATCTTAACATCTAATTGATGTCTTATTTTAATATTAACTAAATCATAATCATTTACAAAAGATTCACATATTGGTAATTTAAATATTGTTGGTCTGCTTTGAAGTCTCAATGGCACGTTTTTTGGTAATTGGAAACAGAATGGTCCAGCAATTGATTTTTCATTGTGAACAATACATCCATTATTTGCAATGTTATAGCATTCACTTTGGACAAAACAAAAACTAATCTTATCAACTCTATTAAAGCCACTCCATCTACCAATAAATTCAATTGAATTTGAATTTAATTTCATGATTTTTGGCAATATGAATTCAAAATCAAGTAAATCATTATTTCCACCAATGAATCTTGTTGGCCTTAATCCATTTGTTATGTCATCATCAGATTCTAGAAAAGCTCTTTCGATAAACAAATCAACAATGTCAACTGATTTGTTGTTATCTATTGATAATTCACTTGGAAATCTGGTCATTAATTCCGCCTTAAGAAAATATTTACATAAAACTGCATCTGAATTCATTGATTCTGATAAATCTCCTGGTAAAAGAAATTCAAAATGAAATTCATGAATCCCTGATAATAATACTCTTTTATTTTCTAATAATATGGAACTTGAAAAGACAGTTCCTTGTTTTTCTGGTAATGATAATTCCAATGATTCCAATGATGATGTTGATGATGTTGGTGATGATGGTGATAATGATGATGATATGTCATTCATTAAATCTAAGGAAATATTATAATCACCTACAAGTGATAGAATGATTTCCTAATAGTAGCAAGTGATTTTATCAAAATTAACTATAATCAAGTAATGATTAATTAAATTGATCAAATATATAAATAAATATTTTAATTACCTTGACATTTAATTTACCAGCCACTTCAAGCCTCACTTTACCTCTCACAGTTCTTATTTTACTATCATCACGTGAGCCATGAAATATTATTCTATTCTTTTCAAGTATTATATCAAAATTTACAACAACTTGTCCAGCTTTTAATGATTTTAAATTCCTTATAAATATATTATAAGGAATGTTTGAATCAAGCTCCAATAAAGAAGTAGCTGTTTGATTACAAATTTTATTCTTATTATAATTTATGTTGGTGTTATTTATTATATGTGAAGACATTTTTATTATAATGAATATTAATCTTATTTAGACCGTTATAATATTAACTTAGTTGTTGTATTTTTTTGAAAAGAAAAGAGAGAGAGGCAAAGCGAATGACAAAATGTTATTAATGAGACTTTTTTATTAAAAAAAAATATAATAATTTTGTTGTATAGGAATTAAAAAAAAAATTAAAGAAATTTTCAAAAAAAAAAAAAAAAGAAATTAACCCAGTTTAAATAAATCATCGATTATCAGGTATAACGTCTGATGATAAATTACTCAATTCACGTTTAAAATAATGTTCATAATATTTATATTATTTACTGTAATCAATTATTTATCACGCACACGTGATGTAATATAATAAAATAGGTGTTACTTTACCTTTGTTGTTATTCAAGGTTGGAAATAATCATGATATAAATTTCAATTGTTACTATTAAAATTAAAAAAAAAAATCTGGTATATATTAAGTAAAATATTATCCGAAAAGGAAAATAAAAAGTATTGGTTCGTGCAACTATAAATTATTTGCTCTCGGAATTTTTAAATCTGGAATTTAATATTTATTTTACAAAGAAAGCAAATTCTCTTGAATTGTCTTGATAATTCTTGAATGGGGGCTTAAATCATTATTTGTAGCATTGTTATTATTGTTAAACATTTAAACATTGTAACAAGTTAAAATTTAAAGTTTTTAAAAACGTGACAAAAATTTTAGAAATTTTATCAAGATTGTCAAAAAATTTTTTTTGTGGAATTAGTCTTTTACATTTTGACATTTGATTTTCAAATATGTAAAAGTGATATGTTGCCAAGTTATCTTTATATATTATCAGCAATCACACAAGGTGTATATGCGAGAAAGAAAGTTGATAGACGGGAGCGCAATTGCTTTGGGAACAATTTCTTTAACAAACCATTCTTCTTGCATTTACTCCAGCCATTGTAGTTAATTATTTAATATCTTTAGCATCAATGTAACGTGATGATGATGATTTACCATCAAAGATTCTGAAATTACAAATATACTAAAAGGTGAAGCTTTGGATCATTTGGCCAATTATCAAGTCCAATTTACTGCGTGTACTTTTATAATAATAGACCATCCATCTCAATACAATTTTCTGAAAGTAAAGAAAGGTAAGACAATTTTAAAAAATAATAATCCATATTTAATCCGAGAGAACATGGATAATATATTTTATACTCTTCTGGTTTAAAATGATGTTTATTAGAGTCGAAATAACATTATTTTTTTGTTTTTACTTGATTTACTTCTGATTTCTTCATAATCAGTGTATCACATCATCGTCACTACAATTTTGATGTATTCTTTTTTTTTTCTATATCCTTTACTATAAACCTTTTTTGGCCTATATTGTAATTATAATAGTCCATCATCATCATCATCATTATCATCTTGTTCGTTTCTTTTCATTTTATTGATTTGATTTGTTGATGTTTCCGCAATATTATCGCCACTAATTTTTATCTTTCGAATAATTTCCCCCGAGCATTTTGTGTTTAATTCTAGCATGTCCTGGGCCCGTTTCAGGTTTTGTCCCATCAAATAATCAGGCCGGATAACTTTTACATATCTGCGCTTAATGAAGCGAAATTTTTTTTCCAAGTTTGACATTTACATCAACTAATCTAAACATATTGCAGTTCCATATTTGAATAGCTTAGGCTTGTAGTAATCATAATATACTAGCTTGCCACTTCCCGAATGATAAACAATACACATGATAAACCTTTCAGAGATCAACTCTTGGAGAGGAATGTGAACTCTTATCGCCCATTGCTTCGGGTCTCGTTTGGCCGAATAATACTAAGATAATCATATCGTCTTTCAGTCTCAAAGAGTTGTTCAATTTGAGTCCAGTATAAACAAGGCAATAATAATAACCTATCACTTTTTTCACATCATATCAGAGTTACGCTTATGTAATTTATTACATAATACAAGTGATATTGACATATTTAGTGATTTATAGTAGTATTATAGTCGATTTAAGTTTATAGTGTGTCTTAGGTTTATAGTAGTTGTAAATCGAGTACATTAGATTTTTGTTCGATATACTAGAAAAGACCCATTTCAATTTTTGCAATTGTTATCTGTGAACGACTATGAGATTTTAATAAGGAAAATAATACTGTTATGTATGAAAAATCGAATATATAATGTATATGCTAAAAATGTAAAACCTAGATGTTCCGTTTGGGGAAACATGAAAAATATGCGATCGTATGTGGTTGATCCCTCATGACATGGTGTCATTCCTTTATTGATACAAAAATTTCGGATATTAATATTCATGTAAATTATATACTAATACTAATATTAATACTAATATAGTCAACCCTCGTTTCAACGAAATCAAAAAAAACTAATATAAACTATTTGCGATTTTTTAAATTTTTCGCTTCTGCACGTTTGTGCATGTGTGTGAAACGCAAATGTTGGGTTTAACTCTAGTTAGTAGTCGTGGCCTGTGCTTGATACGCCAAGACCTTTTTCATATTGACAAAAAAAAATATATAAGAACGTGCGTGTATAATAAATGGAGAACGTACAGATGCAACAGAAAATTGAAAATATTGCTGTAATATAATGCGAACTTAATTACAATTCGTTGAAACAAGAGGTTTGACTGTATAATGTTTGCTCAGATATTTGAAATGAAATGTAAAACATTTAAAGTCTTTATTGTTGTTGAATTGAATACAAATTTTTTTCGAATAAATTATTTGTTTAATTTGTTTATTCCAAATTATTTATTTTTTTTGGTTTTATTGTTTATTAAATTATTTTAGTAAATAAAATAAAAGTAAACTATGAATCATTTGTTACCTAAATAAAAATTTATATAACATCAAACTCAAGCCTATTATTCCTTAACTTAGAGATTGGCACCGTTAACCGGTTAATTTTGTGT